AAAGATGAAGAAGTGGAGAGAAAAAAGAGAGGAAAGAAAAGGAAATAGAAGGAAATGAGAAAAAAAAAGGGAAGAGAGAAAAGAAGAGAGGAAATGACAAAGAAAAGGTAGTAGAAAAAAAAAAGTAAGAAAAAGAAGAAGGAGACGAGAGGCAGAAGAGAAAAGAAAGAGAGGAAGAAAGGAAAACAAAGAGAGGAAGAAGAGAAAATGAGGAAAAGGAAGAGAAGTGGTGATATATATAAGGCTTATACGGACCGTTTTTGTTGACTCAATGCACTCCAAGAGGGGGGGTGAATTAGAGTTGGAGAATTTTCACCTCTTTGCAACAACCACCAAACAAAAATTAAAGAGAGAGTTGAGAAGAAGAGCTTGCACAATGATTTTATAGAGGTTCGGTCCAACCACTTGGAGCCTAGTCCTCTACCTGGGCTTTACTCACCAAGGATTTCCTCCACACTCTCCACTAACAAAAACAATGGTGGCTTAAAGGAGCCACTCAATCCTTTATAAGAAGAAGGGTTTTTCTCAAATCTCACCCCTTTACACTTAAACCCCAAAGATCCTCTCTACAGATCACTCTTGAAAGAATCAACACACCCCCAAGATCACTCACTAATAGCACAAGAAGAGGATTACAAACAAAGATCTCTCAAAGATAAAAAACTCAAGTTAAAGCTCATGTAGGTAGGTAAAGATATTCAATACAATACTCTCTAAACTTCTTCAGATTTGTTACCAACCATATTTATAGCCCCTTGCTCGAAAATAGCCGTTTCTAGCCGTTGGGGGTCATTAAATGCTCTACAGGACGCAAAAGTCTAGTTACAAGATTGTTAGAAGAGCCGACTTAACTTCCTAGAGCCGGCTTTGCACAGCCGGCTTTATGGGATTCCTGCATATTCTGTTTTTCTCGAGAGCCAATTGCAAGACTTTGAGCCGGCTTTGGAACTCCGACTTTAAATACATTAAATAATCTTTAAATAACTCGACCGTTGTGCATTAAATGCACCCTCACAGCCGGTTGCAAAGTTGGAGCCGGCTCTGCGTCTTTTTTCAATGCGCGCCAAACAACGGACCTTTAAATCTTTACCCGTAGAGCCGGCTGCAGCTTCCAGAGCCGGCTCTCTACACTTCCATTTCACCAGAGCCGGCTGCAGCTTTCAAGAGCCGACTCTCTGCATATATTCAAGCCTTTCTGGTCCATTTTTAAGTGCAATCCAAGTTTACTTATTTTGCAATCTTTTGACATTTTAACTACACACTTAAATGAACCAATTAGTCACTCAAATGTGTTTTGTAATCATCAAAATTATAGGTACAACAATCTCCCCCTTTTTGATGATGACAAAACACTTTGAGAATGAATTAATGAAAGCACATATATCCTTCAATATTACCCAGAATTTCAGCACAAAGATAAAGCACATATATACTTCAATATTAGCTAGAATCTCAGCACAAAGATACTCTAGAAAATGACATTAAATTCAGCATATTCTTCTCCCCCTTTTTGTCATTCATCAAAAAGCACATAATCAACAAACTCCCCCTTAATTCATGCACATCAAACTTTAAAGCATCAAGAATATCATCAATCATCATCAATATAGCACCACAGACAATCAAAGTCATGAATACAGTCATCAACCAATAAACTCCCCCTCAATAAAAGCATATAATCATCAAAATCATAGACAACCATTCACAAAGCATGATAACACAAGTGATGCCATTTTCATTCATAAAACAAGACAAAAAGGTTCAAGAAATATCCATAGTCAACTAAAAACATAAAATGCATAACCCTAAGATGTCCATCCTAAAGATTAGCAAAACTAAAGAAATATCAAGTTAGGTGGCTTTAGGTGGGGGTGGAGGAAAAAAATGGTTCACAAGCTGATCAAGTTTTCCATCCACGATATCCATTCTCCCTTTCATTTCTGTCTGGAAATCATAGAAGTCAGTGTGCAGCTGCCGCATTTCATTTATCATCAACTCCATGGTTTCACAGTTAGTTCTTTGCATGGAGACTCGAAATGGTCTTGGGCTGTCACCTTCATGTTCTTCTGCCCCTTGTTCTGCCATTTCTTGATCTGTATCACCTTCTTCTTTGTCCCCTTCTTGTTCCCCTTTCTTTATCCAAATGCCATTTCTAAACAAATAGTCCATTTTTTCAAAAGAAGCTTTGGTAAGTGTAGTCCCACCGGGAACCGTTCTGAACCTAAAGGATGTAAGATCAATATTGTTCCTCTTCGCCAATCTGGTAATTAAAGCACCATGAGGAAGTCTCGTAGTTGGTGAGTAAGGCTTGATTATGCTCTGGAAAATGAATCTTCCTAGGTTTACCCTTTTTCCGTTAAGAAGATAGTCGAACCAGGGAAGATCACTGACAAGAACATAAGATTTAGAACCCTTCCTCTGAGCAATAATGCGAGATATAATCCACTGCAATGCTCTATTCTCTGGTGTAAGAGACCCCACTTTAACTTGATTTTTAGTGCAATTGGGGCCAATTGTGGCTCTAACTAATGCATGATTTACATTCTCAAACTCATCATCTCCTCCTTCAGGTATATCTAATGCAGCACAAATATCCCTTGGTGAAAACTAAAATGATACCCCAACAACCATGGTTTTGCATTTATTCCCTCTTGGTTTCAAATTAGCATAAAATTGATGAACAACTTTATAATACACGGGCTCTTTAATTTCTACATAATCCTTCCACCCAAGTTCCCTAAAAATTTGTTCAACACGCATATCTCCTTGAGGAAATTGACTGAATTTTACACAATTGCAAGATAAAACAACCATATTCTTGATAATTTCATACTTTGCAGAGGCTTGGGTATCCAAAAAGAGATTTGATTAGGAGATGTTACCTTCTTCTTGATCTTGACCACCGATGCTAGAACTACCAATCTGTCTCCTTTTACCTCCACCCCTTCTTGAAGCCATGAGAGAGAAAACACAGTAGCCACACCAAAAATACAGTAGATCCCACACAAATTGGAGTGAAAAGCTTGTGGTTTTGTGTTGGGTAGGTAAGGATTTGATGGTATTTAAGTGTTTAAGGGATGGGCTTTGGTGATTTGGAGGGATTTTGGTGTTTGACAGAGTGAATGGCGAGTTTTGGGAGAGGAGAGGTCGCGGGTTTGAAGCAGATCTGGGCTGGTTTGTGCGGGGAGAGAGAAACCCGAATGATTTAAAAATTCTGCAAGAGAGCCGGCTATAATTACAGAGCCGACTGTAAAGCGGGTCCGGGTTGGGTCGCTTGCGGTTTGAGCCGGCTGGTGAACCTAGAGCCGAGTGTAGTTTAGAGAGAGAATACTTTTGGTTTTTTTTGGGTTGAGCCAACTATGAACCTAGAGCCAGCTGTGGCGTAAAGAGAGAACACTCTCAGGTTTTTGGTTGAGCTGGCTGTGAAAAGGGTTGAGCCGGCTCTACTGGCCTTGATTGGGACAAACAGAAAGTTTGGGGCTGTTTTGAAGGGAGTGTACCTAATTTGATATTTTTTCATTTAATTAAGTTTAAATTGAACATCAACTACTAAATTATGCAACTTTAGTCATATATCAATGTATGCATCATCAAATAGCATGAATATAATTAAGGTACACAAATCAAAGAATCAATATACACAAATTCTAATAATCAAATTCATTAATTTCAAGAATCATATCAAGTACTAGGAAAGACACATCAAATGAAATCACACTCAACAACCAAATGCTAATGTAATTATACTCAATGAATAAATACAAAACAAATGAGGCATAAGTCTTTTTAAGATCTACTTTGCTTTCCTTATGACTTTGCCATCAACTTTTCTTACAAAACAAAATTAAGTTTTGATTTTTGGTACCCAAATTTGCTTGGGTCCATGGGGGTTAGTGCTTAAAGTTCCTTTTGGAATCCAAATTTGCTTCACTTTTCCTTGAGCTATCAATCTCTTCAAAAGACATACGTAAGCAAAGTGTCCATTTGCACCACAACAATAGCAAGTAACATTAGGATGATAGGATTGACTTACTCTAACAAAAGAATTCTTGAAAGTCTTTTGCTTTTTAGAATAATCAAATCCAATGCCCCCTTTGTCATAAATACTTCTTTGAAATTTTAAGATAGAATCAAATTTTTCTTTACTCAAGGTAAATTTGAAAATTACATTCTCAAGATCACAAGTTTTTCTCTTTAAAACCTCATTTTCCTTCTTTAAATCCTCATTTTCCTTTTTCAAAGCATTATTAGACTCCTCATTTTTTAAAGAAGCAATCTCACCATTTAAAGAGGCATTCTCTTTAACTAAAACCTCATTTTGTTTTGAGAGAGATTCAATCTCATTCCTAAGCAATGAAATGGTTTTAGTAAGAGCAAGATTCTCATTCCCTAGTTTCTTGATATCATTCATAGAGCAATCAAAAACTTTGCAGAAATCATTATAAGAATACTCAAAAGAACTTTCATTAATTGAACTAGAGAAGTTAGAGTTTACCTCCTCATCATTGTAGCTATCTTCTTGAGCCATGAAGCAAAGATTTGCAACACCATTCTCCAAGGAGCTTTCACTTTCCGTTGAGCTAGTTTCATCATTGATGCATCAAATACGCACTAATTTTAGGCAAGTAAACCTAATCGATTATGCAGTATAAGATGAGTAAGATATCGTTCCCTCGAAGACTATCCTACACTACCAAGACCCTATTAATCTAAACTAAGTTGAATTAACCAATTAATGGGGAAAAACTAAACTATTTAAAAGAAAACTAAGTCGACTAAAGAAAACTAAACTAAAGAATTTTCTAAGTTAAAGAAACTATGAATGAGAAAGAACTAGGGTTTGAATTTCATTTAATTCTAAATTATGCAACTGTTTCGTTAATTTAATTCAAGTTCAAATAATAGTGTTATTGAATGAGATGGCGGATTTCCCTAAATTAATTTACCAGCTTTCTCAAGTCAAGTTAATCCTTCATTTGTTTGCTAAATTAATCATATCTCTATGTAATTTTAAACAAACTAATGAGCATTAAATTCTATGGAAACCTCTAGCTTAAGAAGGGGGAGCTATTAACTCTCTTCTCTTCCTCCACTATCACATGTGAGCTAATTACCTCTCGATCTCATAGTCTAGCACACGGTTTATATTATTATTGGTGTAATTTACACAATTCTTTCTCAAGTTCATGCATAAATCACTAAATCAATTGAAAGGTGATCAAGCTCTCAATGCATTAAGTTCAATAATAGAAACTCATCATGCAAATAACCAATAAATCTTAAATTAAACTAACAAAAACAGTCACATACTTCAAAAATTAAAATCCACCCATCCCTAGTTCAAAGAAATCTAGCCACGCATGTTTATGTTCTCAACAGCCATGAAAAATAAATCCCAGCAGAAAATCATAGTAAAAAATTCAGAAACAACAAAACCCAAACTATGAAGAATTGCAATTTGCCAAATGGTGAGCTGTGGTCAGGATCTCCCAAGAAGGCTGGGCGGCAGCGTGGCTCTTCTGCAAACGGATTTGGGTCTTGCGTTCTCAATTCGCAGAGCAGATTTGTGCCATTCTATGTCTTCTTCTGCTGCTGGAGAACAACAGATGCGGATGGCAAGAAGGCTGGGCGGCTGGGCGGCTTCTCCTCCAATGTGCAGAACAACTCCTCTCGCGTCTATGTGGCCCCTTTGTTTCTGCCAAGTAACATCTATATATATCTCCATAAATTAGAAACCCCTTAACCCTAGCAGACATGGGAATTGGGCTGTGGTTTGGGCCTGGACTGCAGTTGGCCCACACCTAGAAAACACAGCCCAATTCTCTTTATTTCTGCACTCTTCATTGTCAAAACCGTCACTTTCAATCAAAAATCTGTATTGATACAGCTAGAACTGGGTTAAGGTCATAAAACATCAATTGTAGCTCTGCCTCTTAGCTTTCCAACGCCTAATAATCATCTCAATCCGATACCTAGAGAAAAAGATATGGTTAAATTACTATAACATGTGCAAATTGTCACTAATTACAAAATTAATTCATATCTTAATTTCCACCTACACATAATGAAATTAATATAAACAAAGGTGAAACTAAGTTACAAAGGACCCATAATATTAAATTCTATGCTCAAAAAGGGTAGATAAATGCATATAAAAATTAAACTCATCAATCATCACTCCAAGTGGCAACAAAAGCTTTCTTCTTCATGCTCTTCTTGTCTTTCCTCTCACTCTTCTTCAATTGAGAGCATTCATTTCTATAATGCCCCGTCTTGTTGCACTCATAGCATTTGATTTGCTTCTTACTTGGCTTTCCTCTATCATCATCATCATCACTACATTGTCTTCCTCTAGAATAGTGAATTTCCTTGTTTCTTCTAGAGGATTTCCATTTGAGGCTCTTCTTCATGTATTTCTTCACTTCCTTTGAAACCAATTTGGTGATGTTCTCTTCATTGCTAGCATCATCTTCACTTTCTTCCTTTTGTTTGCTAGCCTTGAATGCAACATCCATCTTCTTCTTCTCAACTACTTCAACTCCACCATCAACTTGAACTTCTATCTCATATGTCATCAATTTTCCAATGAGATCTTCAAGCTTGAGAGTGTTGAGATCCTTAGATTCTTCAATTGCAGTCTTCTTGGCTTCCCAACTCTTAGGCAAGCTTCTAAGAACCTTTCTCACCACTTCTTGAGGAGGATAGACTTTACCAAAAGCTTTGAGATTGGTGACTATATCATTCAATCTTGTACACATATCTTGAATGCTCTCCTCCGGTTTCATCTTGGCTGCAAAGTTGGAGCCGGCTCTGCGTCTTTTTTTCACGCGCGCCAAACAACGAACCTTTAAATCTTTACCCGTAGAGCCGGTTGCAGCTTCCAGAGCTTACTCTCTGCACTTCCATTTCACCAGAGCTAACTACAGCTTTCAAGAGCTGGCTCTCTGTAGATATTCAAGCCTTTTTGGTCCATTTTTAAGTGCAGTCCAAGTTTACTTATTTTGCAATCTTTTGACATTTTAACTATACACTTAAATGAACCAATTAGTCACACAAATGTGTTTTGTAATCATCAAAATCATAGGTACAACAGTTTTCGGTCTGTATGCAATAAGGTGGAAATATGAGGACTTATGTGTATAAAGGAGTGGCTTGTAAAATGTGCAAAACTTAACCTAGAAATTGAAGATTAGCGTGTTATTCTGCAGAAACCAGGGGAAGGGGGCTGTGGGTTTC